AAAGTTTATTTTCTGGTTAGGGGAAAGGGCAATAAACAAAAAAAGAGTAATTGAGAATTTGTATGAACCAGTCATGTTGGTTAACTCTGTGTCCTCCTCAGAGCACTTGGTGCAGGTGAGTGCTGTTCTGCTCCTTCTGCAGGCTACGGAGACACTATAGAGATGTGGACTGGCCTCTGCCCCACCCAGTGGGCTCTCTGCTTTCACATACCAGGCTGCTTGACTCTCTATTAAAACACTGCCTGGTCTGCTTATTTCTAAATAATAAACACATATTGTTGATAATGAGTGTGATGAAGAGTGTGATGAAGAGCACACTCATTATCAATAATATGTGTTTATTGATGATAATAATATTAATAAAAGCCGCAAGGGAAGCCATTGGAGGGCTCCTGGATGCCTGGGTGTAAGTGTTCGTTAGCATCATGACTTAAGTGGGATTCCCTCATAATGGGGGGTGAAGGAAGGCCACATCATGAGCCACGTAGCTATCTATCCAGAGGGGAGGGTATTCCAAGTCAAGGGAACAGAAAAAGCAAAGGCCCCAAGGTTGATGTAGCTTTGTCAAAGGTGGAAGAGAAGCCAGGAAGCCAGGTGGGAACTGTCCCTGTCTCTAGGAGGGTGGGGAGGGGAGCAGCCAGGAGCAGCATCCCTGGGGGCCTTTCAGGTCAGGTAAGGCCTTTGATTTTACTGAAGAGAGGGGAAATGGTCCAAGAATTTTTGAGCAGAAAAAGACATGATAAAAAGGATCACTCTGAAGGTAGGGCAGAGTCTAGGGCACGGTCCACAGACAGCTGCCCGCTGGCCGGATTGCAGCCTGCTTCGGTGTAGCTGACAAGCAAAGAGTGTTTGTGTACATTTGTGAATGGTTGGGAAAAAATGAATAATAATATTTGGTGTCCCAGAAAAAGTATATGAAACTCAAATTTTTGTGTCCATTTTCATTTCAGTGTTATTGGAATTGAGCCGCCCTTGTTACTTTGTGTATGTCCAAAGCTGCCTTTGAGCAGCCTTAGCTGAGCTGAGTCCTTTTAACAAACCACATGGCCTGCCTCTGGCCCTTTTCAGAAAAAGTTACTGTTCCCTGTCTTAGGGGGATGGAAACAGAGGAGACTAGAGTAGACATGGCAGAAGTGAATGGTGGTCTGAATAGGCAGTAAGAAGTGAACAGATGCAGGACGTGTTTCACAGCAAAAGCAGATGTACTGTGTTCACATGGGAAGATTCTGGGTGATGTATGAATATGGCACTGAGTTACTGGAGGGTGCACTTGCCCTTTTGGGGGTTGGGAAGACTGTGGGAGTGACAGGTTGGGGAGGAGGGTGAGCAGGAGGCTAGAGTTGTATTTTGGATATGTTGGCTTTATGGTGCCAAGTGGAGGTGTTGGGTGTCAGTCACTTGTGAGTCCAACTCTGAGGAGAGGCTGAGGCTCGAAGTAGGTATTGGAATATTTTCACATATTACAGAAGGCTTCCAAGCTGTGGGAGGGTGGAAATCCTGTAGGGAGCACACTTGGAGGGCAAGTCCAAACCTGGAACCCTGGGGTGCCCAGCATTAAGGGTAAGGAAGCAGACAATGAGAGGGAGCAGCCAGAGAGCGCACTTGAGCAGATTGGGGTGTCCTGGAAGCACAGTATGGTTCTCTGTGTCACATGCTGCTCAAGGTCAAGCAAGATGCCAACTAAAGATTCACCATGAATTTGGCAATGTGGAAGTCACTCGTGGCTCTGATAAGAGCTGCCTGTGTGACGTGGTGAGACAGAAACCTGAAACCAGCTGGGTTAATGAAACTGGGAGGACAGGCAGTAGAGCTGGTGTGTAGGAGACTGTCTCCTAAAGCCTGATTGCAGGCCAGGAAGGGGCAAGAGTGGGATTTAACCTGAGATTAGGATTTTGCCAGTTGAGGTCAGTGGAGGAAAGGGTGTGAGGGAACTGAACATTGTGTAGGAGAGTCCATATGACAGTGGATTGTGTAATTGATGCCAGGCAAGGAGCAAGATGCAGGGAGGAGATGAGGGACAGCAGGAGGTTGTGGGGGTCAGCAGATTCAAGGAGTTGTTGGATTTGGGGTGGTCAAGAGTCGTGTGCTTGAAATTGTCATCGTGGAGGGTGCAGTTGTGGTTACATCTAGATCTAAGGCAGTATTGTTCAAAAGCAATGTCAGGGGAGCCATGTATAACTTTTCATGTTCCAATAGCCGTATTTTTAAAAAGTAAGGAGAAAGAAACACGATAAATTTTAATATTTCATTATATTTAACCTGTTATCTCAAATATGTGAACATGTGAACTGTGTACAAATTATTGCAATGTATCGATTTTTTTGTAAGTCTTTGCAGTTGGTGTGTATTTTATATTTCTAGCACACCTTACTTTAGACTGAGCACATTTCAGGTGCTCAGAGGTCACAAGTGGCTCATGGCTGCCATACTGCAGAGCATAGGTCTTGGGAATCACTGTGGAAGTACAGTCCAAGGTTATTGGAGGGTGGGTTTAAGGAACAGAGAAGCCAAGGTTCATGAAGGATTATGTGGATCGAAGCCACTTGGGATTCCTTACAGAGTGGGGCCGCGGGGGTTAGTAGGCTGAGTGCTTTAATCTGCCACCCATCAAGTGAGTCTCAGCATCTGTGGGACTCTGAGGGACTGCTCTTGCCTCATCTTAAGTCCAGAAATCATGGGTATGGGGTATGCTTTCAGACTCACAATAAAATATCAGAAACATGGGCCATAATATTAAGAGGATCTTTTCAAAATGGCAACTTCCAGTCAGGGTTCACTCTCACTCAGAAGGCATTTCTTTGAGCCACTAATGAAGATGTTACCCATGTGAAGAACTCATTCCAGCCCATTTTTTTTTTCCTCAAGAAAAAAATATCCGTTAGATTTTTGTCTTTTATTTTGACATAAATCTTTAGATGCTGATCTTTATTTTGGCATAATCCTCAAATCCCTCAAATTCTGTTTGTAATACTTAGCTCAACAATCTTAAACACGCTTGAATCCCTGCAGAAGCCGACATTTAGGAGTTTCAAGGCAGTCCACATGATACAGACAGCAGCATGCAGCCTGGCTACCCTCTCTGCCTCCTTTTGATAGGGTTCATGTGGTAATATATTTTATATATACATGCATATCTACTTGTGTGTGGTGTGTGTGTGTATAAATATTGGCTTTGATCCACAATGAGTCTTTTAAAGATCAATAAAAATGGATGATGTCAGGAAGCTGTTTTTGGCCTTATAGGCCAGGAAAAAGGAAAATGTTTTGAAAGGGTAGACAGAAACACTTCCACAGCTCAGTTGCTATTACTACTTTTCATATTTAAAGTTAACACAAGCTGCTCATCTGAATCCCAATGGAAAAGGTGAATGGATATTCCAGTTCTGTACCTTTATCAAATTCAAATGTACCTTAGATTACTTTCAGTTTGTTTCCTGTAGTATTAGGATTAACAACAGCAACAACAAAAATCCTCCCAGCTCAGATATTTAGGAAGAAGAACCCATTTTGAATCTGTGTTTATGTGCCCCCTCTTCTCAGATGCTATGTGTGTTGAAGGAGCAGTTGTTCATTTTGTAGGCGCCAGTGTCAGGGAATGAGGGATCTAAGTGGTCCCAAGCACCTAGGCTTTGGTAATCTCAGAGCAGGGTGAGAGTCTGCTGGGTCAGAACTGTCTTCCCTCTGGGTGTGGTGCCTCCTCTCTGCACTGTAGTGATCCCTGAAAGCAAGCCCAGGAAACGTCACTTAGTAAAGAGGAAAGCTTTCTCCTTATGTGAGTTTTCTAATTAAAATGTTTTCCATCTGATGGGGAAGTGTGTGAATATCAAGAACTGGAAATTAAGCAAGAAATTAAAAGAACATTAATGGCTTCTTTGCAATTTGTTTTGAGGTTTTCCTCACTAAGTGGTATTTTGCTTACAAAGTCACCCTTTCACACATAAATCTTTATGACAAATGGACTGGAATATATCCCAGCAAAAGAAGAGCTATGGTGTCATGTGTAAATTATATCACACATTGTGAAAGAGAACCCAAAAGCATTCACTTTTTAAAAAAGCATTGATAGTACAGTTACTTAATTGGTGTATACAAAATTATAGTTTATTTGAAAGTGAAGGTTGGTTTGTCTAGAGGACTGGAAGAATAAGTGTTCTGACATTTGTTCATTGTTTGAATTTACACTCCAGACACCAGAATGCTCAATAAATCCAATGTGTGATTTACTGACTCTTTAAAAAGTTCACTGCTGAAACTTTATCCATCACAACTAGTGTCCCTTCACCCCGAGGCATGTTTGGTCTACAGTAGGCAGGCACCTGCCCCTCCTGGTCCTTGGGCCTCAGGGAGTGCATCGCATGCCACACTGGCAGTTTTGTTTGTCATTATCTGGATTTGTGTCTACTAGTAAAGTCTTCATTAAGCTGCAGCTTCTACCTCTGGGTGGAGAAGTAGGTGGAAACAGGGAACTGTCAAACTGTGTAGCCCTTCCGGGCCTACCTCAAAGTGCCCCCACCCACAGCCTCTTCTCTCTTTCCTAGACCTCAGGGTACTGCATGTTCTGTCTGCTGTGCTTTCAGTTTCCTTCTCTGGCCCAGCCCTTCCTCCCTACTTCCATTTATTCTGGTGGACAGCCTTTAGGGGCCAGCCCAGATGCCACTTCTTTATGCACCCTTTTGGGCTCCATTCTGCATAGTCTGTCTTTTGGTTCATTCTTCTCCTTCCCATATCCCCTGTGAGGACTGTCGCCATGAAAATGTCATGATCTCTTTATTGGTGTCTTTAATCTACTAAATCAGGAGCTCTTTGGGAGCAGGTGTTGGGCCTCCCTTATTTCTGTTTCCCAAGAACCCAGCCCAGCATCTGCACATGGTTGTGAGTGAATGAATTCGGGTGGATGGGTGGGGGAGTGATGGTGGGGTAATGTACCTTCAAGTCAAAAAGGTAAACTTGATTCCTGTTTTGGAGAAAGAGAAGAATAAATACTGTTTTTGTTTATACAGGTCTTAAAATTTTGGTAGCAGAGAGCAAATGTGCAGAGAGCAATGGAAAACAAGTCAGAAGCTGCTGTCTGATTCCAGAGATGGTCACATTTTATGCAAAAAGAAAAAAGTAATTTACATTTGATCACCTTGAGATCTTCAATTTGTCATTGTGATATCTTAAGTAACTAATGATTAAGTGAAATAAATCTTGGGAAAATAGATCACAAATGGAATGAGGACTTTGCATTGTAAGAAACCCACAACTCTTTTCTTTTCACAACATGACCTTTTAAAAAAGTACCTTATTGCAGGCTTGTGAAGGTGGCTGGCCTCTGAGCACTGGGCACATGCCTGAAAGTGATAGGCCTTTTTTATTTACCTTGATCCGCTGGAATTAAACAGTCATGCTTATATTCAGTTAGTTTGAGGTTTGGTTGGAATTCAGTTCCAAATTGGGGAAAGAAATGAGCATCCAGCCCCTCTTCCTCATATTGTCCAACTTGCCTTATGAGACTCATATGCACAGTATTCCCTGTTTGAACTGAAGTCACTCACTTGACTCTGTCCCTGCAGTAGTCCTTAAGGAAGGTACACGAACAGATTATCTTGAGACTTCCTTCTGCATCAGTAGTTTTGATAATTTCAAGGCCACTGTGGAATTCACCTGTAGTCTGTTAGGACCTTATCTTACTTAGGAACATTAGTCCTTTTATTCACGCACCCTCCAGTATCCCTTTGGAATGCTGTGTTTTGCTAACCCATGAAACTGGTCTAGAAAGTACAGTAGCAAGTGCTGGGAATTGAAGTCCACCTTCCTAGTGCTGTGCTTCACAAATAGTCTCTAGCTGGGGGCCTCTCAGAGCATGGTGTTCTGTTATATCAATATGTACTTAGACATGCTAATCTGTATTAGAGAGCCGATATACATAATGACTCCCCTGGGATGCTATATTAGAAAAAAAAAAAACCAAAAACTGAAGTAGTTTGCTGAATATGCATAGTAAGCTAAAAAATAAAATCCTTCTAAAATGAGCGTTAATTGAATCTGGACCTTGATCATCTTTGAACCTCTAATTTTTAATTTGATCCTTTAAAAAAGTTATAGGTTCTTGAAGACAAAATCTACAATTCAATAAAAGTTATGCTGTAGTGATTGCCTAAAGACTGAACAAAGCCCAATTTTGAGGTATTATTGCTCCATGTATACACAGCATGTGTGGGGTAGATGTATATACATGTACATGTACATGCATACACATACCAACTGTATGCTTAATCTATGCTATAGTTTGCCTTTATTTAGATTTCTCCTCTCTCTGCCTTTAGAAATGGGGCAAATTTTCTTCAGTTAAAAACAGAAATAGAAGCGGCGGCCTTGACCCATTTTACACCTGTTTATTTCAGGCTCTCACCACACACTTGTTCATGGGCACAGCAAGAAAAGGGATCCACAGAGCGGGAGCTGTGAGGTCTGACACATTGGGGTGAAGCTGGCAAAATTCGTAGGGAGAGCTTTACCATTCTGCCAGCTCCATATCTAGCCTCAAGACAGTTCTATTAGTAAATTAATTGTACTCAAAACCTCAAATTCATTTGAACCGAATGTTACTAAAAATGAAATAGATCAAAGTGACCTCCTCTTGCCTCATCCAGAGTGATCGTGAAGGAGCCCGTGGCCTCATTTATCTCTGGAGAGCAGGTCTCCACCTGTGTGCCTCCTGGTCCTGGGGGTTCTTCGTGCCTGTCCCTGATGCTGTTCTGCCCGAAGTCCCTCAGCAGGCTTCCATTTCTTACTGGCACTTCCCTCCCCTGTAATCTCTTTATGTTGATTACTGTTTGTCTCCCACAAGAATGGAAGCTCCATGAGAGCAGGGTCTCCGTCTTGTTCCATGTCCCAGTGCATAGGACAGTGCCTGGCACAGTGGAGTTTCAATAAACGTTATTGAATGAACTAGTGGGTCACTAGCCTCGTGTCCTTTCTCAGTCTTTCCCTTTTACTTGCTGTTTATATATGACATGCCTTTTAAAGTCATAAAGCAGTGAAAAATTGGGATCAAGTGTAAAAATTTTGTTGTGATTGAAATAACTGTTGACCTAGTTCAGGGTAGAACAGGAAACCCAGAGTGTATGAGGACTTAGGAATTACAACCTGTGTGTTATGGTATCCATGCCTCCTGGATCGAAGGTATGGATGGGTGGAAAATAGGAGTCAGCTCTCTGGAATATTGTAACATCAACACCAGGGAGAGTTGGAAGAAACAATTGAGGAAGGGGATCAGGGAAACAGAAAATAGACAAATACTGAATGATTTTCTTAATATTTAATAATTAATAAATGTTGGCATCAAATAAACAAGATAAATCAAAATATTTTCTAGATCAAGTGGGCATTAACAAAGATACACAGGGAACTTGAGGTGATTCCAGTCATGTGCCACATGACTATGTCTGGTTGTCAGTGGACTGTGTGCACGACGGTGGTCCCATAAGATCACATGGCATCGCAACGTCATTGTCATCTCAGTTCATGTAAGTACATGTGGTGATGTCCCCATCCCATGATGACAGGAATCACCAGTATTGCATTTCTCAGAATTTGTGTTGGAGCGTGTGGCTGTGTTAAGATGATACTAACATAAGTGCTTTTGTTCCAGATGGCCTTCACGGATGCTCTAGTCTCGTCCTCTTTACTTCTTGTGTATTGACATAGGCCAGAAACTGACACTGTTCTTGTAAATTTTTGAGAAGTTTTCTTTATTATTATTTTTTAAAACAAAGAACAAAAACCAAGGAGACAGTATTCTGTGATGTAGGCTGTTATCTCAAGGTGAGTTTATTTGTAGCACTAACTTGTGATAAATTGTTTAAAGAACTAAAACTTCTTTTCAGATTGAGCATATTTTATCTGTCAGATTTTGTTTATTTCAGCGTAAACTTGGGTTGTTATACACTGTGAAGGAATCAACTGAAGCAAGGACCAAGGTTCAATTTATGCTGGAATTTTATTTCATGCAGAGAATTGACCAATATTTCTGATCAAATCAGTAAATATGATTCAGTTTCATTAAATTGTGAAAAGCAAAGGCCAGATTTTTATGTACCACAAAGCAAAAGAGAAAAGAAAACCCCCTTGGAGCGTGACGCATTTTCATTGGACTTAAATGTTGAGTTATTTTGATTATGTAATCCTACCCTCCCAAAGAAGTGTAAGGAGTGTGAATTCTGGGGTGAAGATGTAATCACAAGAAATGGTTAATGAGGCAGAACACACAAGTCTGTATTTATAGTTTTGTGGACAAATTAATCATCAGCAGAGGATACAAATGCAAAAAAGAATTCTCGATTGCATTCAAGAAGTGCAAGGTTGAACTTTCGAAACTAAGACAGAATTTTAAACCTTCTCAGGGATGCGGTATTAAGTAAGTTAATGTGCTTGGAACAGGAACTTAGTATGTAATGATCACCCATAAAATATGCTGTTTATTCTTAGATGGATTCTAGTACAGGAGATGAAAGCATTTTTTAACTGTGCTTAATAAATTGTATTGTGGTTGGGTATGGGCGAGTGTCCACTTCTAATCGAAGCAAGTGCAGCTTCTCGAAGCAAAGCTCATAGCAAAAACTTTTCCTCGTATTTTTTTTTTTTTGTGTGTGTGTGTGTGTGTGTGCGTGCACACACGTGTAAAACATGCTGGGGCAGGCTGTGCAGATGATGCTCCTATGGCAAGAGCTACAGCAGCTGCTGCTCCACTTTCGGTTTCATTCTCAAGAGTTGTTCTGATTAATCTGAAGTTTTGATTAACTTATGTTTTTCATATATCCTGCAGCTGCATGTGTGTACCTTTAAGTTTTGTGGAATTAAATAAAAATTTATGACCAGTGACTCTTTAAAGCCACTGTCAAAGTTGCATACAAAACACTTCATAGGTTTGAAATCTAGTTTTCATTCAACATTCCTGCCGTTTAAAGTATGTGACATAATCTTTTAAAGAGCGATTCCATGAGTTAGTGCCCTCTGGTGGCACACAGAGGACATCAAGCACAGAGGGACTGTGACCCAAGAACCTTCAGATAGCTCTTCTAAATTAGATTGCTTTTTTGTTAGTTCTTTCTGGTAGTTTTTCCTTTGGGTGGAGTTTGAAAGTCCCCTGGTAGTTGGTTGATGCCTGCCTGTCATCATATCTTTTTTTGTGTGTTTGGTGCTTATCAGTTTCTTACTCTGTTAAACTCTGGTCCTGGAGTTGACTTGCTAGCAACCCAGCGATGTTAGCAGTGTAGGTTGTGAATAGAAATCCAGGTGAGGGGGTTTTTGGGTGGGTTTGCTGTAAAAAGGTACATGCCAGCATTCAGATTTCCCAGAACCAGAGCATCCATTTTTAGATACATCTCTTATCTCCCCTTTAAAAGGGAGACCATATCACTTCCTAGATTAAGGAGGGAGCCTTTCTGATGGCCTTGGGGTGACTAGGACACAGTTTGAGATGACTGGTCTTTGGTGGTACTCACTCACCATTTTGGCCTTCCTGGGGCCCATCTTTCCCACAGAGGCCTTTGACAGAGGTCATGCAGGCCAGGAACTGAATCCTCCCTCCACCACTGAGAAGTTGTGGGGCCCTGGGGAAGCTACTGTGTCTTGTGTGGGTTTCTTTAGCTGTGAAATAGGGGTGACTTTTAACCTGTGTTTCAAATCGATGTGAAGAGATACCCGTGAGGGTGAGGTGAGATGCTGTGTGTTTAAGAACTCTTTGTGGACCTTTGC